TTAGCATCTCCAGGTGTATGACCCATGTGGATTTAGCTCTTACTTCTAATTGCAATAATTTAGCATCTCCAGAATTCTTTCCAAAATGAAGTTACCAAGACACTGCCATCAAGTGACATGAGAATTTAGTGCTGCAGCAACCCTACTGACCTATTTTAGGTAGATCTCACTCATCTCTGATGGTTACCTCACCACCAATTGTCTTTCTGGGTTCCATCCGACCTCTCTGCTACATTTATACTATGCTTTGAAGCTATATTTGTATTAGGACTGAAAAGGTCAGCTGTGGCAAAACATCTCCTTCAATGAATGTTTTAGATTGTGCATGTCTGTTTTTCTACTGGCTTACAATGAGATACATACAAAAAATAAAGGATGTAAGAAGTCATACTCTATTACCTCGGACAGATTACTGTATACTGATATGTACACGTTAATGTCATACTAGATGATGACCTTGACTCAATAATACCTGCAAAATTAAAGATAAAATTCTACTACCCAGTAGATTTAATGCTCTGTAGTGTTGAGAAAAGAGTGAAATTGACACGTCTCTTATCAACTCTCAACATGACGATAGTGGAAAATTTTGAATTTTCCTAATTTCAGCATGTGTAAATTTGAATAATATAATAACTGTGTATTAAAATGCGATGCTGATTTGACCCTTCGAGAAATTTCGAGGGGGGGTGTGTGGAACAGCCGCTGACGGGCCATAGAGAAACTGAATGTGTGAACACTAGTCTGTTAACTGTGCATTGTAATCAGGCATCAATGAAGTTCAACTGGTGTATATTGGCCTCAATCCGTAATTTAGAAATTGCTGACACATCACCGCTGAAAAATTGACTTAAATAGTGTGGAAAACCCTTACAATTCGGCTACAAGGACGGAAAAATGAGGGACTCTGATTCTTCCCAGCAGCGCACCTCAGCTAAGTGACACTTGCCCATAATGTATAGTACCTTTTATGGTGGTCATCATAAATTCTAGTTAGTATGGTACCTGGAGTTTAACTGGAGAGGGTTTCGGGGGTCAACACCCCCACAGCCCAGTCTGAGATCAGGCCTCATGGTGGCACAGGGTCTGATCAACCAGGCTGTTACTGCTGGCTGCACACAAGCTGACATACGAACCACAGCCCAGTTGGTCAAGTATTGACTTTAGGTGCCTGTCCAGTGCCTTCTTGAAGACAGCCAGGGGTCAATTGGTAATCCCCCTTATGTATATTGGGAGGCAATTGGGCCCCGGACACTTATTGTGTTGTCTCTCAGTGTAATTGTGGTGCCCCTGCTTTTCATCAGGGGAATGTTGCATCTCCTGCTGAGTCTTTTGCTTTTATATGGAGTGACTTTCATGTGCAGGCTTGGTACCAATCCTTCCAGTACCTTCCAAGTGTATATTATCATGTATCTCTCTCGCCTACGTTCGAGGGCCCCTCAAGGAAGGTTCCTTGATGTTGGTGAGGGGCTCTTGATTTAGGGAATTGGATCTGTGCTCCAGTTCCCCGAATTAAGCCTGAATGCCTTCCACATCCCCCCCAGGCGCTGTATAATCCTCTGGGTTTAGCACTTCCCCCTTGATTATAATAATAATAATACGTTCGAGGGAATACAGATCAAGGACCTTCAACTGTTCCCAGTAGTTTAGGTGCCGTATTGCATTTATGTGTGCCGTTAAAGTTCTTTGCACACACTCCAGGTCTGCAATGTCGCCAGCCTTGAAGGGGGCAGTTATTGTACAGCAGTATTCCAGCCTAGAGAGCACAAGTAATTTGAAGAGAATCATCATGGGCTTGGCATCCTTAGTTTTGAAGGTTCTCATTATCCATCCTATCATTTTCCTAGCGGATGAGGTAGATACATTGTTGTAGTCTCTGAAGGCGAGATCCTCTGACATTATCACTCCCAGGTCCTTCGCATTACTTTTCTGCTCTATTGTATGGTTAGAATTTGTGGTATACCCTGACACATTTTTTATTTCTTCAAGTTTTCCATATCTGAGTAATTGAAATTTCTCCTCGTTGAACTTCATATTGTTTTGAGTGGCCCATTCGAAGATTTGGTTGATGTCTGCTTGGAGTCTCATGGTGTCTTCGATGGAGGGTAGCTTTAGGGTGTGCTACACAAATTGTGATCTGGTAATTAAATAGTAAGTAATAATACGAATTTCTTTACTAATAATACCATTGTATTATATGAATTGTACTAATAGTTTTATTTTGTGTACCCAGCAAGTAAACCAAAATATTTAGTCCACACAATTTTAATTTACCAGAGTAGCTGGTTTTAATATTGTAATAATTTAATATCAGGTCTAGCTTTCTATGAGAGTGGTATTGGGGTGGGCATCGAGGGAGTGACAGTTCTGCGACCTACTGTGACTAAGCCCCACTTACCTCGCCCAGATTACTTGAATTTAATAAGTCAGGTAATACCCTGTAAACCTCATGCAGGTAATTTATCATATAATAATTCATAATGATATTGAAAATTATAGATAACCATTACAGCAACAATGAATCCTTGAGCACATCTACACTATTACTGAAAGGTATTCTAAATCAGTAGCTCTCAATTATTAACCCCTCAAGGAAGGTTCCTTGATGTTGGTGAGGGGCTCTTGATTTAGGGAATTGGATCTGTGCTCCAGTTCCCCGAATTAAGCCTGAATGCCTTCCACATCCCCCCCCCCAGGCGCTGTATAATCCTCCGGGTTTAGCGCTACCCCCTTGATTATAATAATAATAATAATCTCAATTATTAAAAATTTTACAGAAAATACACCCTCTAAGGAGGAAAAAGGGCTGCCATGGTGCAGGTGAAGGGCTCTTGATTCAAGGAACTGGAGCTCTCCCCTTAGATCAACTCCAATTACTTAACATTTCCCAGGAGCTGTATAACTTATGGATATGATTCCAAAGAGCATAATAGGAAAAATACATTAGACAAATTTAGGTAACTGAATACCATACCTGTACATAATATGCAATATAATTATATATCCTATAATATGTTGCATATACGATACCTACGTATAGTATTATTATACGACATATAATTATATTGCATATAATGCTAAAATTGTTTGTTAGTACACAGCTGACGAACATAGCATATGGAACTTAAAACTTGCTTGATAGTACTGAAGAACGTGACAGATATAGCTTGCTTGATAGTACAATCTATTGTACAGATAACAATGAGAGAGTTCACCTGGAGGTGGCCTGGTGGCTAAAGCTCCCGCTTCACACACGGTGGGCCCGGGTTCAATTCCCGGCGGGTGGAAACATTTCGACACGTTTCCTTACACCTGTTGTCCTGTTCACCTAGCAGCAAATAGGTACCTGGGTGTTAGTCGACTGGTGTGGGTCGCAACCTGGGGGACAAGGTTGAGGACCCCAATGGAAACAAGTTAGACAGTCCTCGATGACGCACTGACTTTCTTGGGTTATCCTGGAGTTTACCTGGAGAGAGTTCCGGGGGTCAACGCCCCCGCGGCCCGGTCTGTGACCAGGCCTCCTGGTGGATCAGAGCCTGATCAACCAGGCTGTTGCTGCTGGCTGCACGCAAACCAACGTACGAGCCACAGCCCGGCTGATCAGGAACTGACTTTAGGTGCAAGCACGTCCAGTGCCAGCTTGAAGACTGCCAGGGGTCTGTTGGTAATCCCCCTTATGTGTGCTGGGAGGCAGTTGAACAGTCTCGGGCCCCTGACACTTATTGTATGGTCTCTTAACGTGCTAGTGACACCCCTGCTTTTCATTGGGGGGATGGTGCATCGTCTGCCAAGTCTTTTGCTTTCATAGTGAGTGATTTTCGTGTGCAAGTTCGGTACTAGTCCCTCTAGGATTTTCCAGGTGTATATAATCATGTATCTCTCCCTCCTGCGTTCCAGGGAATACAGGTTTAGGAACCTCAAGCGCTCCCAGTAATTGAGGTGTTTTATCTCCGTTATGCGCGCCGTGAAGGTTCTCTGTACATTTTCTAGGTCGGCAATTTCACCTGCCTTGAAAGGTGCTGCTAGTGTGCAGCAATATTCCAGCCTAGATAGAACAAGTGACCTGAAGAGTGTCATCATGGGCTTGGCCTCCCTAGTTTTCAAGGTTCTCATTATCCATCCTGTCATTTTTCTAGCAGATGCGATTGATACAATGTTATGGTCCTTGAAGGTGAGATCCTCCGACATAATCACTCCCATAAACCCCATAAACTCCTATAAACCCTCCGGGGTTAAAAATCCGAACAAAATCTTATCTTATCTTATCTTATCTAGGTAATGTGCCACACCCTCAGTGTGGGAGATGCTACACCCGCAATGTGGGAAATGCCACGCCCGCAGTGTGGGAGGTGCCACGCCCGCAGTATGGGAGGTGCCACACCCACATTGTGGGAGGTGCCACGCCCGCAGTGTGGGAGGTGCCACGCCCGCAGTATGGGAGGTGCCACGCCCGCAGTGTGGGAGGTGCCACACCCGCATTGTGGGAGGTGCCACGCCCGCAGTGTGGGAGGTGCCACGCCCGCATTGTGGGAGGTGCCACGCCCGCAGTGTGGGAGGTGCCACGCCCGCAGTGTGGGAGGTGCCACGCCCGCAGTGTGGGAGGTGCCACACCCGCATTGTGGGAGGTGCCACGCCCGCAGTGTGGGAGGTGCCACGCCCGCAGTGTGGGAGGTGCCACGCCCGCAGTGTGGGAGGTGCCACGCCCGCAGTATGGGAGGTGCCACACCCGCATTGTGGGAGGTGCCACGCCCGCAGTGTGGGAGGTGCCACGCCCGCAGTATGGGAGGTGCCACGCCCGCAGTGTGGGAGGTGCCACGCCCGCAGTGTGGTAGGTGCCACACCCGCAGTGTGGTAGGTGCCACACCCGCAGTGTGGTAGGTGCCACACCCGCAGTGTGGGAGATGCCGCACCCGTAGAGTGGAAGATGACACGCCCTCATTGTTCGTATTATGGGTGGGTACGTGGGAGATAGCATCTGGTCTCAGCACAAACATAAGAGGTGGAGTGTATAAAAGACATTTACACCTGGGAGGATATAAGTAGGTCTCACTTGTTTCAGTATCTTACTACCATTTAACATACATCTACTCACCACACCACATCATGCTCCTTCCATTCCTACTGATGTTGCTCCTCTCTACCTTCGGCTTCACCAGAGGTGAGCAAACCCTCCATTCAGGCCTTTAACACAGCAACTAGCATATAATATTCTTTATTTCTACAATTACATGATACAACTTATACAGACCTAGCTGACATCAGTGACATACTATATAGAAAGCCCTTTGCCATGTAAGCATACTGGACAACCTAGGCTAATCTTGTCCCCCAGGATGCGACCCATACCAGTCGGCTTACGTCCAGGTACCCGTTCGCTACTAGGTGAGCAGGTACTGCATGTGCAAGGAAATGCTCAATGTCTCAAAATCCCCACACAAATCCTCCACACAACCGCTGATGTTATACAACCCATAGATGTCAATCAGAGCCTGGCAAATTAGAGGTAATCAAGTTTGAGCCGAGAAATGGGAGGGCAGCTCTGATTCTTTGGATCGCGAGACCTTGTTTACAAGTGTTGTGTGACCCCATCAGGTGGTGTACCGCCAGCGAACGACTGCTTCGCCGACAACTTCCAATGTGCCAACGGTATCTGTATTCCTATGGACCGAGTGTGTGATGGTGTTCTCAACTGTGTCACTGGTACTGATGAGGACAACTGTAACTGTAAGTCTACATCCTATCTTTTGTTGCACCCCCCCCCCTGTACGTTGCTTAATACCATTCACGACATTAATTCCACCGAATACAAGGCATTTCAATCTTAACTACTTTATCCACAGATTATACTCTTCCGAGGCCTTTCCAGTTTTCTTTGCTCTCAAAATGAATTTCGGCTCTCTCTTATATATATATATATATATATATATATATATAATATATATATATATATATATATATATATATATATATATATATATATATATATATATATATATATATATATATATATATATATATATATATATATATGTGTATATATGTATGTATGTGTGTATGTATGTTTACTTTCTTGTATATACCATTAATGGTTTTTCTCATGAACATTTTCAATGATATTCAATACATATTTTCTATGCGTATTTATGATTTTGATACAATGTGTAAATGTCAAAATGGCTTTTTATGTTTCAGTTTAATTTACAATGTATTTTTGTAAGCACAATTGATGTGGTGCCAATAGAAGCATAGTGTGTTTTGATATATTTGAGTATTGTTTTTCTTTTTAATTTGTCTAGATGGTGGTAATACTATGTATGTAGTTTAAGAGTTTTACGAACCCTTGAAGTTGTAAGAATGAATGAATTATTCGTGGTTGAGTTGACGTAATATTATAACTGACGTTGGAAGTAATTGTGTTCAATTAGACAACATACTTTATATAATTTATATGTATGTACATGTATGGTAAATTGAAGTCTGAATTTAAAGGTGAAGTGGGTTTTCCTTTTTTATGGTTCTTTTTTTTCTTTATGGTAATACAAGGTTGAATCATGTACACCAACAAATATGGTTAGAGGTATGTGGTAAAATTTTCGTGTTGATTAGACATTTATAATACAGATGGAATACTAGGCTTAGGTTAGAGTATATTTATGATAATTGTGGAATGTTCTTTGATTCAAACTGCTCTTTATTATACAAATTGGGTAGAATGTTTCTACGTATGGCATTATTGAAAAATGTTGAGCTAAATCTAATGTGTAATGTACATGTGCACACCTGGGCGAGCAGCTGTGCGGACCGTGCAGTTCTCATGGACCTGTATGGTCGGTGTAGGTTTCGCTTAGATGTGTTCTTGACATCATTGGTTAATTATCCTATATTTCTTTCCGTGCTCTGAGCAGAAGGAATTTAGTCTGTAACGAAATAATGAAAGTATACTTGTATTTTATTATTCTAGTGTAAATTAAAAGCAAGGATGATTAATTTGAGGAAGAGTTAATATAGGTTTGCATGTTTTTACGAAAGTTAACTTATCCACATGTATCTAGTATAGGACAGTTTTAAGCTTCGGTATCTGATTTTATATGTAGGTTATAGTGGTCATATTTGTTATATTATGTTATTCGTTACTGTTTCAATATCTAATGTAACGTTTTTTCAGTTATTGTTCATATATTGTCATCTTTATGGTTTTTCCTTTTGTCTATTGTCTATTTGTTGGTTTTAAATAAAATTGTCACACTATGGTATAAGAGGGCACTCCCTCAACTACCTCAAGTCATACCTCAGCAACAGAAGCCAATATGTGTACGCAAATGGGGCAAACTCTTCTGCGCAACCAATTACAGTTGGTGTCCCACAGGGAAGTGTCCTTGGCCCTCTTCTCTTTCTCCTATACATAAATGACCTACCAAATGCTTCGCAATTACTCAAACCCACACTATTTGCAGATGATACTACATACGTCTTCTCTCACCCGAGCCCAGTCACGCTAGCCAATACTGTAAACACCGAATTACAGAAAATATCTACCTGGATGAGGACTAACAAACTTACACTAAACATTGACAAAACCTACTTCATTCAGTTTGGAAACAGAGCTACAGATGTACCTCTTAACATAACGATAAACAGATTACCTATCACAAAGCTAACAGAGGGAAAATTCTTAGGAATCCACCTTGATAATAGACTCAAATTTCATACACATATACAACAAATTTCTAAGAAAATTTCCAAGACTGTAGGCATACTATCGAAGATACGGTACTATGCTCCACAGTCAGCCCTCCTGGCCCTATATCACTCTCTTATTTACCCCTATCTCACCTAAGGAATTTGTGCATGGGGCTCAACAACAATTAACCATCTCAGACCACTAATTACCCAACAAAAGGCTGCAGTTAGAATAACAAATTCTCACTACAGGCAGCACACTCCACCAATATTCAAAACACTCAACCTACTCACCATACAAAACATCCATACTTATTATTGCACCTATTACATACATAGAACACTTAACTGATATTAACCCTCCCCTCAAACATCTCCTTGCCAACCTCAACAGAACACATGACCATAACACAAGGCACAGATCACTCTTTGATGTTCCTCGTGTCCATCTCACACTATGCAAAAACTCAATGCACATAAAAGGTCCTAAAATCTGGAATTCATTACCTGTAAATATAAAAGAAACACTACCTGTTTATAAATTCAAGTCTCTTCTCAAAGATCACTTACTCACCCAAAACCAAATAAATACTGAATAACTGAACCTTATAAATTGTATATCTTAAATGTTTCTCACAATTATATCACATAAATGTTAAACCTAAAACCCAATCTAACAGAATACTCCATTGACTGAATGTACAGCAATGCATGCAACCATATGGCCTGTCTTTGTAATACTCATTTGTGCTTTATAGTTATCTGTTTACAATAATGTCTTATAACTGATTTCATCATTGCTTAGTTAATCTTAAGTTAATTTTAAGCCAGCCCGTAATGCTATGCATATAAGTGGCTTTGGCATGCTGCTCTTACCTGTATTTTTTTGCACCTCTGTATGTATGCTCAAATTACTAAATAAATAAAATAAATAAATAAATAAATAAATTGAGATCAAAGGCACCTGCACATGCCAATAGTCGCATGAGCCTCTACCCTAGTACACTAGCAACTGAAATCTGAAGCCGACTGGAGGTTTCAATATATTTACAAAGCACGTTGAACTGTTTATTTGCCTCTTTAAATGTTTTCTGTTTCTAACAAATTTACACTTATCAGCTTGCTACTGTTGTGACTAATTTATTCTTAAATAATTAAAAAGAAAATAAAATCATTTAAAATCCATTTTTACATTCCGCAATTCAAACCCATTATTATTTTCATGGCATCGGCTATAATTACCAGGAAATTTTGATGAAGAGGAAATATCCCCACTATTTGTGCCAAGAGATGCTGGGGTCAATGGAAAGACTGGCATAACTCTCAAAGAGGCCTCGACCCAGGGGTACAAACCACTCAAGCACAGCGTTAACAAGCGTCGGGAAGGGACAGAACAGACAGCAGGGTTCTCAAATTATAAACGAAAACCTTGCGGAAAGAAAAAAAAATGTCAACCACTTAAAGGTACTCCTTCCTGAATATCAAACTAGCTTTGTGGGGAGACGGGGGGGGGGGGGTGAGGGGAAGGTGATGGAGTGAATTTAACATTAATTTTCTATCACTGAAGTTGAGAGCAAGATGGGAGACTGCGCCGTCGGCTACTACCAATGCGACGACGGCATCTGTATTCCTGACGACTATGTGTGCGATGGAGTCCTCAACTGTGTCACTGGTATTGACGAGGCCAACTGCAGTTGTAAGTGTACACCTTGCTTGTTCATCTCCCTTTGTACAGCCTGATTCATTTAAAGTCTTGTTCAACACTTTACACCGTCTGTTGTTCAGTAACCCCTGTACACCGCGTGTTCAACACACCTTGCCTTAACACCCTGTACACTGCCTGTTCAACACACCCTGCCTTAACACCCTGTACACTGCCTGTTCAACACACCCTGCCTTAACACCCTGTACACTGCCTGTTCAACACACCCTGCCTTAACACCCTGTACACTGCATGTTCAACACACCCTGCCTAACACTCTGTACACTGCATGTTCATCACACCCTGCCTAACACTCTGTACACTGCATGTTAAACACACCCTGCCTAACACTCTGTACACTGCCTGTTCAACACACCCTGCCTTAACACCCTGTACACTGCCTGTTCAACACACCCTGCCTTAACACCCTGTACACTGCATGTTCAACACACCCTGCCTTAACACCTTGTACACCATGTTCAACACACCCTGCCTTAACACCCTGTACACTGCATGTTCAACACACCCTGCCTTAACACCCTGTACACTGCATGTTCAACACACCCTGCCTTAACATCCTGTACACTGCATGTTCAACACACCCTGCCTTAACACCCTGTACACTGCATGTTCAACACACCCTGTACACCTTGCCCAGTATGACCTGTTGAAATTAACTTTTCATAATTGATTTAAAACTAATATTTCAAAATATTCATAATTTATCTACAACTGAACCATTCATTATTATTCACTGCATCTTTGCGATATGTTAGTTTTGTTTATGTTGTTTATTAAGGCCTCTCGCCGCTATTCACAATTTCGGGTGTACTTTCAACTGAGTAACTGTGTAATGTACTAGTAATATATTTTTCAAACTTATTTAGACGTAATTATAGATTATGGGGAAGCGCTAAACCCGTAGGATTATACAGCGAATGTGGGGGGGGGGAGGTATTCAGGCTCAATTCAGGGAACCGGAGCACAGATCCAATTCCTTAGATCAAGAGCCCCTCACCAGCGTCAAGAAACCTCATTGCAGATAATTTTAATTTGGTTTGCAAGAATGACAAAGTTTGCAATCTTTGACATTATCACTTTGATTAATGATTATGGCATTTTTGGATTTTTTTGTAAACAATTTATTGGAACGATTGTAGCGGTTATTACAAATGGTCACAAATACTAATCTGTATTACAGTATAATGGTACAGGACATACATTATTCCGAAGGCCCAAAGAATACATAGCATCTCGGGCAAAACTTAAGACTATACTTAAAATTTATAGTTTTTCTTTTTATTAATACACAGTATTAGTAGGAACTGAAAAATGGATACAAATTGAAGGTTAAGCCATAGAAAATCACAAAAAATATAATTGTCTAGTTTAACAGGGTGTGAGATACTAGTTATTTAAATAAATGTATATGCCTATCTTACAATACGTATATGGAAATTGGAAAAGTTGAAATAAGAACAGGGATAGGAGTGAATGATAACAGTAGGTTTCAAGATTTGTTTATCAGGATCACATTCAAGGTAAGGAGGCGCTTTGTAACTGGAGCTGGATCACTAGTGCACTCAGCTCACACACTGAGGTCCGGGGTTCGAATCTCCTCCGGTATGACTGGAAAATATTAAGGACGTGTTTCCATAAGACACCTGCTGTCCATGTTCACCCATCAGTGTAAAATGGGTACCTGGGTGTCAGTCGACTGGTGTGGGTCGCATCCTGGGACAAAACTGACCTAATTTGCCCGAAATGCTCTGCACAACAAGGGGCTTTCTATATAGTGTAGTATGTCATTGATGTCAGCTATGGTCTGTATACCTTGTACATGTACTTGTAGTAAATAAAGATATATTATTTTTATTATTATAGGGAATCTTTGGAATCTTCAGCAGCGCTGTATAGCCCTTGTGGCTTAGCGCTTCTTTTTGATTATAATAATAATAATAATAATTTGGAATCTTCAGTCAAGGTTCCAGATTTTAGGTCATTTTATGGTCATCGAGTTTATACTCAGGTTGAGTCAAACACAAGGGTGATATCTAAGATTTTTGTCTTGCGTCTGAGTTCTGTTGCATCCATCAAGGAAGAGTTTCAGAACATAGTTAATACTTGAAATTATTGTTCCTGTATTTAAAGAGTATGCACAGTAGGAGTGAATGTTATGTATATTAAGTTTAAATGTTTGAAGAGTGGGAGCGTATTGTACAGCACCAGACTGGGTGATAGCTCGTACAGCCTCTGTGTGTTGAGTTATTATTGGCTTTGGGTAACTTGTAGATCCCCAGTCACAAATACCATAGACGAGGTAAGGATAGATTATAGTACAGAGTAAGTAGTGCTGTTTGAGGTACATAGTAACGTATTTTAGAGAAGATGCCTACCGTTTTGGAGACCTTTTTTATGTGCTGGATGAGTGTTGAATTTGAAGTTACTGGCAAGGTATAGACCCAAGAATTTTACCTCGTTCTGAAAGAACAAATAGGCACGATACCTCATTTTGTTTTACAATGTGAACCGTTAATCGAAGCTAAACCTCCCCTTGATTCAAGCTCCCAGTTGCATCTCATTACCAAGGAGCTATATTGAACTCTTACGGGTTTAGCGCTCCCCTTGACCCATCTCGACATCAATATAGAGAACAGCTGCCGCCTGAGTTTGGTGATAATTTTCTATTTAATATGTGCAATATCAAGCATGTTTTGCAAGTTCTTTATCTTGTGGATATTGTCCATTTTTTATTGTTTGGTTATTATTATAACCATAACTAAGCGCTAAACCCACAAGGGTCATACAGGGGTTCTAGGTTAGGTTACACTGGGAAACCTAACCAAATTCGACCCAATCCAACAAAAACTCAATGCAACCAAACCTAACATCCTCATTTACCTAAACATAGCCTTAAAAAATTAACATATTCTACAAGGGTACTTACATCTTCTGTCAAATTCCTATGTGATATTTGCAAAAAGTAAATGACTGTCCGAACTTTGGTGGTCTATTGCTAAGACGTGAAGGATTGTGCGATGGTCACTATTTTCTTTACATTATTGGAACACCGAGGACTAAATCCTGGCCACTGATTGGATTTGGCGCTTATTTTAAGGCATACATCCTTCCACACATAAAAGTAGTTAAGTCATCAATATCTCAAAATAATTTACATACCTTTATGGGTAATTTTGATAAAATAAAACTATTGGAAAATCCATTTATTACTGTACATTTTCAACTATAAATAATGAACTCAGCCGAGCAGCAGTTCTCCACATTGACCTATTAGAGCACTGATGATTATATTGGGGAATGGGAGACAATCATGGTCGACCCGAGAAAGTGGAGGATATTATTATTATTATTATTATAAAAAAGAAGCGCTAAGCCAAAGTGGAGGATAGTTTACCTGGAGAGAGTTCCGGGGGTCAACGCCCCCGCGGCCCGGTCTGTGACCAGGCCTCCTGGTGGATCAGAGCCTGATTAACCAGGCTGTTGCTGCTGGCTGCACGCAAACCAACGTACGAGCCACAGCCCGGCTGATCCGGAACTGACTTTAGGTGCTTGTCCAGTGCCAGCTTGAAGACTGCCAGGGGTCTGTTGGTAATCCCCCTTATGTGTGCTGGGAGGCAGTTGAACAGTCTTGGGCCCCTGACACTTATTGTATGGTCTCTTAACGTGGTAGTGACACCCCTGCTTTTCATTGGGGGGATGGTGCATCGTCTGCCAAGTCTTTTGCTTTCGTAGCGAGTGATTTTCGTGTGCAAGTTCGGTACTAGTCCCTCTAGGATTTTCCAGGTGTATATAATCATGTATCTCTCCCTCCTGCGTTCCAGGGAATACAGGTTTAGGAACCTCAAGCGCTCCCAATAATTGAGGTGTTTTATCTCCGTTATAAGCGCCGTGAAAGTTCTCTGTACATTTTCTAGGTCGGCAATTTCACCTGCCTTGAAAGGTGCTGTTAGAGTGCAGCAATATTCCAGCCTAGATAGAACAAGTGACCTGAAGAGTGTCATCATGGGCTTGGCCTCCCTAGTTTTGAAGGTTCTCATTATCCATCCTGTCATTTTTCTAGCAGATGCGATTGATACAATGTTATGGTCCTTGAAGGTGAGATCCTCCGACATGATCACTCCCAGGTCTTTGACGTTGGTGTTTCGCTCTATTTTGTGGCCAGAATTTGTTTTGTACTCTGATGAAGATTTAATTTCCTCATGTTTACCATATCTGAGTAATTGAAATTTCTCATCGTTGAACTTCATATTGTTTTCTGCAGCCCACTGAAAGATTTGGTTGATGTCCGCCTGGAGCTTTGCAGTGTCACAAATGGAAGACACTGTCATGTCTCATGATTAATGTGTTTATGATTCATTACCTTTGCAATTATTCATGAGTGTGACCAGCTCAACCTGGAGCTCATTACCTTTGTAACTTGGTCATGATTGTGACCAGATCTAGTTCATTACCTTTGTAACTTGCTCAGCTATCAAAACTTTGGAGTCCAGTCCCTGGACCAATTATGTACCTCTGTAATCTTTTGACTACCGCCCACTGGATGGGTATGGGGTGCATAATAAACATATTAAACTAAACTGTCATGCAGATTCGGGTGTCATCTGCAAAGGAAGACACGGTGCTGTGGCTGACATCCTTGTCTATGTCAGATATGAGGATGATGGAAAATACTGTATATATTTTCCAGATTATTATTATTATAATCAAAAAGAAGCGCTAAGCCACAAGGACTATACAGCGCTGCAGGGCAGGAAGGAAGCGAGGGCATCAGGTGGCAAAAGGGAGATGGATGAGTAATAGGTTACGGATAACAGCGGGGCAGTGGATGGTGAAAGGGTAAAGGGCAGCAAGAGACTGAACTAGAAAGGGCTGAGGGGAGTGCGAAAAGTATCATCAGAGTTTGTGGAGTAAATGAGTCGTTGTCAAGAAGTCAATGAGAGAGTCAGGATTAAAGGAGGGTCCATCAGCAAGAAGGGAAGGTAAAGAGAGAGTAGTAGAACGAAGACGACGTTGGAGGTAAATTCTGCGTGCT